ATTTGAGTACAAATACATAGACATATTTTGTTTTATCATTTGGATATATAATAGCATCAGAATATAATTTTAAATTGTATTTATTTGTTATTTATGTATGTTCATACAGTTAATTAGTTGATTCATTGATTTATACACTATATATGACTGGGTGATCCAACTTCTAGCCAGGAAAAGCATACTTTACACTGTATAACTGACCTTGTTACCTCCCTTCTCTGATTTCTCTTAACCCCTCTCTTAACCCCTCATTCACTCCTCTAAATTATACATAATTTTTTTAGGCACGTTGATAACTTTATTCTGGTTCCACCTGATCTCAAACACCTGGGAGACACCCCATTTCCTAAAGATGATCATGTATTTTCTCTGACAGAGTTTAATGCTTCCCTTCATCTTTGGCCTTTAGCAGTATGAATTTATTTCTAGGTTGTTTTTTAATTCATTATTTGTTGAAAATTCTTGACCATTCATTTTGCAATATTTTTTTCCTCATTATTTTACTTTCTTTTTCCTTCTGGGACTTCAATTAAATATATTTCAGACTGAATGGCCTACATCTCTTGGATACTCTGTTCTTTTAAATTTAAATTATTAAAGTTTTCCAAGAATTTCCTCTTTTGTTTTCATTTGAGTAATGTCTGTTGACCTATATTCAAGTCCACCAAGGCTCTCCTTGAATGTGTCAGGCCTACTGATGAGCCTGTCAAAGACGTTCTTCATCTCCTTTACTGGGCATGTGTTTAAATTTATTCTTAGCCTGCTCTTTGACATTTTCTTATTGTTTCCATTTCTCTGCTGAAAATTCCCATCTGTTCATAAATATCTTCAAGTCTTTTCACTGGAACTTGTGATGTATTAATCATAGTGATTTTATATCCCCTGTCCGATTTTCACTTCTAATATTTGTTTTATCTTTCAACAGTGGATTTTTTTCTTTCAATTTCATAGTTCTCATAACTTTTATTTGAAATCTACATATTCCATGTAGGGGGTCAGAAGCCTAAGTAAATAATGTTTAAGGCTGGAAATAGGCACACCTCTTTTCGTGCTAGGCTTTCATTGGGGAGCTGAGCTGTGTTTCTGTTTTGCTGGTTGTTTCAATTACCTGCCATGCATGGCTAACCTCAGGTTCCTTCAGTGTCACCTTGTGGTTAGGATGGAAGCTAGACTGACAGACTACCTGAGTTTTATTCTGGAATGTGCTTGGTCCACCTTCAGTTGTAGGTGTTCCCTGTGACCCTGCATTTTGGTCCCTGTGTGCTCTTATCCCTCTGCTGGGGGTTGGTCTGCTGTTCCTGGTTTCTTTGTCCTGCTTACTACAGATGGTGAGGAACAAAGAGGCTTTCCACATTTTCCTCATTTAGCATCAGTCATAGGTAGCTCACATGTCTCTGAGTCTTTGGAGCCAAGTTTCCTTGGTGATCCTGCCCAGCATTCCATGGTAAAAAAATCTTTAATTTTCTGAAACAAGGAGGATGTCTCCCTGTCTCCATTAATCAAACTCTGAGATTTCACCTGCTGAAAGTGACAGGATTTACTGCCCATTATTTTCAGCATCTTAAGACATTATTCCACTGGGGAAAGCATCCAGGTAAGAATCGTTTTCTCCCTCAGCAGTGCCATTCCAGGGCAACAGGAACACACCAACTGAGGGAGGTTTTCTCCACTCTTTCCTGCCCCCAGGCTTTTTCACAAGCAAACAATGAGGTCCATGGAGAAGGGGCTGCAACCGTCTGTGCTCGCAGGACTCCACACTCTCCCAACTGGTAGTGCTCAGCTTTGAGCAGTTCATTAAGGAGTTAGTTGATACTTTTGTATCTGTTTGCATGGCCATCTTGTCTCCTTCTGTTACCCTAAAAAGGGGAAAGAAAAGGCCCCAGTTCTTGACTTACCCGAAAGATAAGAATTCACATGGGAGATGAATGCATTGTGCAGTGAAATATTTTATTAGGAAAGGTGAAGTACCCCTCCAAGAACAGGAGGCAGGCTGATCCAAGTGCAGACAGAAATGGTCTTTGCTCCCTCCTCTTGTACCCTCACTTAGAGGTGGTCTTTTGATTGATTGATGGCTCTTGCCCCTGGAGTGCTCAGTCATGTTTGTCCCCTTTTGTGAATGCCCTTATCCATGATGAATACAGAAAAACCCATGGAGGGGCCTGAACCTCAATGCTAATTATATTACAATGAGCACTGGGTCTTGTCCGGTTAGGTTCTTGTCACTACCATGCAGTTCCAGCCTTTTAGTTCTAACTCGTTTCTTGCTGGCACTCACTTAAAAGAAGTAAAGCCCCTTTATGCTGGAGGCAGGCATGCCACCATCTTCCAGACCATCCTCCCTCTCCTCCTCCTGTCTGCCTCGTGCCCCTGCTTATCTAACTACCTAACACTTCCAGTGCTCTGGGAGAGGTGAGGGATTGCCAGTGTCTTGTCTGTCTGGAGGCTCATGCCAGCGTTCCTCAAATTTTACCCTGATGATAGCCCTTCAAAATCAGCACTCTGATGGTTTCATCAGCAGTGTGATTTTGCAGATTTCCCAGCTTCTTCTTATGGTTTGATAAGTATGACATTCTTTCCATGTGTCTGTCCTTAGATGGAACCAGGTCTCTGTAATACATGTGATTAAATCACTAATTATTCATGGTCACCAAGATTCCAGGTACTTTTGGTTATTATGTTATTAATATTTCATGATGAAACCAAAATAAAGATGTGTTCTCCTTTGAAATATGTCAAAATATAGCTTAAAATCTAAATGTTTTATTTTT